TCTTTCCCTCCCTCCCTCCCTTCCCCTTATTTTTCTTTTCCCTTCCTTTCTCTTTTTCCTTTCCTTTCTTTCTCTCTTTCCCTCCCTCCCTCCCTTCCCCTTATTTTTCTTTTCCCTTCCTTTCTCTTTTTCCTTTCCTTTCTTTCTCTTTCTCTTTCTTTTTCCCTTCTCTTCCTCTTCCTCTTTTTTCCTTTTTCTTTCTTTTTTCCTTTCTCTTTCTTTTCTTCCTCTTTTTCCCTTCCTTTTTCCCTTTCCCTTCCTCTTCCGCTTCCCCTTTTTTCCCTTCTCCCATTTCTCCGACCAATACAGTATGGCTTAGCTTTGCTGACCAGCTAGTTAAAACTCCCCTCCATTCTTTTATTTTATCCCCCCCAACAAGAATCTGCTTCTGCAAACTCCGGTCTTTTTCCTCTGTTCTTGTGTTCTTCTTCTGCACGGACGGTGGCTTTTGGTTTACAGGTTTCATGGCAGGGGGCAAACCCTAAAAGATATCAATTGCCCCATAGTCTGTCTGTTTTGTACACACACACGCGCGCACACTGCCATGTGACATCTTCCGGATGCTTCCATGCAGTAGCTTCACTTGTCCTGGGCCAGGTTTTAGGTCAATGCTATAAGGCAGAAGTTTGTGCCTTGAACTCAAAGCTGTTAACATTTTGGGGAGGCTGTAATTCTTTGTAAGGCGGGCCTGTATTGCTGTCTCTCGTATTGTAGGGGTAAGGAGAGGGAGGCTTATAGTGAGCGGCCTGCCTAAGACCATTGACGCCATCTTGGATAACTCTGCTGTGCTGTCCAGGATTCAGGGCAGAGAGTTGTGGCAACAAGGAACGACATTTGGATTGAAGCTTTTCAACCTGCATCTAGGCTTCCTCAGGCCTTAAAATTGTCCGTCCTTGGCGGATTTGAACCCAGAACCTCTTCTTTGCAAAACGGATCTGGCTGTGAGATTGGAGCATCCCCCGAGCACCCTCAGGAGGAGAGGCTAGGAAGGGGAAAGACACAGCTTGCTGGGGAACAAGCAGGAAAACAGATCTTGGTGCCAGGAGGAAAACCAGGGAGGGTGGGCTGAGCGCCCAGAAATTGGGGCCCCTTCGCTGTGCCACTGGAAGAATCATGATTAAGCTGGCTTGGCGTTTCCCCTGTAGATACAGCCCTGTTAGACCCTTCTCGCTCTTTGGTGTGGCCGCTGCTTCCTTGCCCGGAACTGCAGCGAAAGAAATGGACGGGCCGTCTCTTTGCCCTTGATGTTTTGCAGTTGTGCCCTTCACACACACACACACACACACACACACAGCCCTTCCAGTCCTTGAGAGCAAGACTCTCAAAGCCTGCACTTCCTTGGCAGCCAGATTCCTTGAGTGCCAACTGCCATTACCAGGTTGCTGCACCACGAATGGAAAAGGAAAGGGAAGGGAGGGGAGGGGAGGGGAGGGGAGGGAAGGGAAGGGAAGGGAAGGGAAGGGAAGGGAAG